GGCGTGAGACCCTGTCCCACCCCATATCAACAAGATGACTGTATCCTCCCAGTATTCTCTTGTTCCCGCTCCTTTCACGAGAGAGGGAAACATGGCCGAGTCATCAGGTACCTCCCCTCTGGGTTCGGTCAAGGGCCTCGTTTCTCATGACCTCATCCGTGTGGTGTTTGGGCCACATGGGCCCATGGGCCAACAGTCAGGCCTGCAAACAAAGGGACCATCTGGGGGCTGGGGCATCCTTGGACTATCTACACTTTTGTCCACGGCGCCCTCTTACATCCCTCAACACCCGGCCTCGACGCGTCCAATATCTTCGGCTCGAGGCCTTGTTTGCTCGCTCGCTTCCTTGTCACGGTTGGCACCCTCCCGCCGTACCCTGAGATCAGATCGGCCTCGAAGCTGAGGCCCAACACCCTGGGAAACACTTCAGACGGGCTGGGCTGGCTGTGTTGGACCCAACCAGCAAGCCCGTCTGCATATCACACACAGCTACCACCCGCTTTGTTCCCACGCCTTCTCTGGCCCTCAAGGAGGGCTCACGGACGGCGTAACGAGGGCTGGCCTCCTCACGAGAACCCTTGTTGCTCACCAGTCGAGATGACTGCTAGGCCGTGGCTGATTGACCCTCGTGGTGTGTGCCCGGCAACTCGAGCCTGCCACCACCAAACACGCCAGCCTCATGCTGCCACACCCTTTTCCCCTTGTTATATCGCAGCGCATTGAGGTGGTTTGCGGGAGCCCTCGCCTGCCCACGCCCTATGAGGAAGCCTAGGAACTGCCGTCATGACTGACCAAGATGCTAAAAGGCGAGCCGTCCCCGTCGGAGCCCCTGGTCTGCCGCCTCCTTTCTCCTGCCATTCGCTCTTCCCAACCGTCAAGACATATATGCAACTATTACTTGCATCCCTAGCCCATGCTCCACATCCATTGTTAAAGGTCCGTTGTTCTTTGCACCGGTCTAGCTACAACCGTCTCGAAGGCCCACCTTAACCTTTTCCGCCTTCCGTCTCCCACTCGACCAACACTACCGGCATAAGGACCTGCTTGTTCTCCCAGTAATATCTGCTCGGCTGATAGGACAGATTTCTCTTCAACTGCGCTCATCTTGCTGGCCTCACCCAACTGTCGAGAAGCAGATATCTCCTCTGCCACCTGTCTTGAACCACACTACCGATTGAAACCTATAGGGCGAAAGCAACGAATATAAGTTGGGGGAAAAAAAGAACAAGGAAGAAGAAGAAAAGCATCGACTGTCGCATGGCTAGAGACTACTGGGTTGAGACCCTCCCATCTGGACACCAGCGCTTCGTCAAGGCTTCCTTGAGGCGTTCTCACTCCAACCCCCATGATGCGAGCAGCCAGTCCTCCCGCGGGCGTCGGGTCGACTTTCTCGACGTCACGCGGGAGGAGTACAACTCCCTCTTGGCTCGGGAGAATGATCTAAGCCGGGAGAACGAGGCCCTTCGCCGTGAGAACCATGCTCTCAAGGCCAACTGGAGAACCTGCCACGATGACCTGCGGAGGCTACAGGCCCGCGTACCCTCTCTAGAGACCACGGTTCGCAATCTTGAGCACGAGAACCATGAGCTGAGGAGGAGCTTTGACCATCATCATCACCGTGCCAGTAGCTACGGCGAGGATGCGATGAGGAGGCTACGGAACAAGAACACCAAACTTATGAACGAGAACGACTCGCTATTGGCCCGTGTACGCAGTTTGGAGCGAGATGTTCGTGACGGAGTCGGCAACGGAGCGAGGAAGCTCATGGAGGAGATCAGCACGTGGAGGCGACGATACGACAAGTCAAGCTACACAGTCGACCGGCTACAAAACGATCTTGCAGCAGCTACCGACCGGAACCGACGCCTGGAGGAGGCGTGCGAACTACGGGCGCGAAACGAGAGGAAGGCAATGAGGGACGTCGACCGATACAAGGCTATCCTGCGTCAGCATGGGTTGCGGTGAGATTGCCATCGGCTTTGTGGGACGTTTATTTCCGCAGCAATTGTGTGTGCCCGCAAGGAGCATGCTTGGATCTGATGCAGATTGACATCGTCAGGATTTCATTCACAGGGCTGGCCGCTTGGAATAGTTTCGGTCTGATGGATTCTAGGGTGAGTCTGCACTTTCAGCTCGAGAGGCGATTTCCCATCATCTTACTGACTGCCCAAGTTTCCAGCCAACACCAAATGCAGTGCCACCACCACACCTTTGCCTTGTGAGCTGGAGGCCACACCAGCGGCCCTGTGGGGCACCACTGCTTCTTGAGACAGATAGCAATGCTTTGGCCTCTTTGTTTTGACGATCCCCCCTGGTGTTACACGACATCTTGGTTCTCGTAACCCTTCCGTCCCAACACTCTTAGTTCCCCTCAAACCGAGGATTTTGATTTCATCCGAGCGGGGGATTCTACATAGCATAGCAGTCGGGCGTCATGCCCTGAATTCAGACAAACATCCAGATTGAACAAGTTTGCCCGGTTACAAGTCGCCACCTTCCCCTCCTGCCCCCCCCCCCCCAAAGTGCACAGTGTGATCGTGACCGCCGGGGTTATCGCAGTCTGATCCAGGCATGATAAGGCCTGTGGTCCTGTGAACAGCCCCCCAGGCGGGCGTTGCAGCTGTCAGATGAGCCGCTCACGCGCTACTGCGGCCCGAGGCTTGGGGTGCCCCATGAAAAAAGTAAACTCACCCGACCAGCAATATCTGGAGTGGCTACACAGTACGAACCCCATGATAATTATGTGGGTAAGTTCTGAATCTCATCTTGGCCTCGTCAGATCGTAAAACTATAGGCTGGGTTAGCCGTGCACTCAGGCTATGGCGATCGGACGGGCGTCCAGACGAGACTGAGTGATCGGGTTTTATAGGTGCTTTGTCCAGGATCTCGTTTGCTTCTTCTTTTCCCCTCCTCTTCCTCTTGTATCCATACGAGCACACTGGCAATGTGCCAAATTGCCATGTTACTCAAGAGCAGCGGCAGCTAACGCCAGCGACTTCTCTCGAGCATGCAATGCCACCCAGGCCCGTCCCCAGAAATTCACTGGCACGGCTGCTGGCCAATCTTGGCGATCCAGTCTCGCCAAGACTGGGAGTGAGTTGTGCCTGGGAGGGAAGCATGGGAGAGAAAGAGGGCACAGGTGCACGATGGGCTGGGGGGGGGGGTGGGAGGGCGACCGCCAGAGTGCGGACTTGTCCGAGGAGCGAGGTAGTACGCGCAGGGGGAGGAGCTGCCCTGTTGAACTCGCGTCCTTGGTAATGTCTGCGTGGTGTTGACCGGACCATGCGGTGCTGTTTGTAATCAGGAGCTGGCCCCCATATCAGCTTTGCGGGTTGCTTTCCACGTCTCCCTGCCAGGTGAGCATCACCGCTCTGTCATGAGAAGAGTCGACTCGTTGGAGCGTGTGGAGGCGGGGCTCCTGTAGTGCGCGAACCGCTCGGGACTGACGGTGAAGGCGAGGAGGACCTCTGCGGATCGAGATAGCCGTGCCCTGGGGTCATCGAGTCTCACATGCAACTTAAATGTCTGGTGCGTATGAGTGCAGCACCGCATGATGCAACCAGGCAGCCTGTCCTTCGCGCTTTTCCTGCGGGATGCCGTCGCCCACTGCAGCCTCACACCTGTCACGGCCCAGTTCGTGGCAGACGGTGATATGGGGGGATGGGTGGTGACAGCGCGATCCACGGCCGATGCGGCCGCTGACAGGTCATATTTGCGTCTGCGTGTCATTCCGAGTTGGGCCGGCGATCTGGTTCCTCGGGCTCTTCCGTGCCCTGTTTCTGACCTCCCGAGCACCACCGCATGGTCCGACCCTGGTTTCCCCTGGTTCCCCGGTCCCTGGCCACGACGCGTGCTTGAATCCTCACAAGGCTGTCCAGCCTCGTCCTGCAGCGCAGACTACGATTTATAGGATGCATCCCGTCCGCCAAGATTGAGGGAAATAGGACCATCGTACGGCGGTCAGTGTCCTGAACATTTCAGCACTAAGTAAGTAGTCTACCTACTGCTGGTACACAGTAGTACGCGCCCACTATATTCCCCAGTACCCCCAGAGGCCCACTTGCCGAATAGGCTGCAAGGTGAGCGGGCAGGGCCCCCCCTGTCAGCGGGGCAGTGTGCATTCTGCTCTGCAGTTTGGAGTGAGGGCTGCAGTGGGCGTTTTTACACATTGCTCCTACGCAGCCCCGGATCCGGTCTACTGTACAGCATATCGTCTCGTCTCGTCTCGTCTCGTCTCGTTTCGTTTCTCTTGTCTCCCGGATGACCATTGTCGGCCAGTCTGTGCGACCGTTGGCGCCAGCTCGGGGGAATCCTCCATTGTTCTGTACTGTTACCCCCGCAACAATGAAGGCTGGACAAGACAATGCAGAAAGATCTACAGGAGTCATACCACGCGCATAGGGTGAATTTCGCAAGCGATCGTGAGTCACCTGCCCGGCTGCTCCGAGAGCCTTCCTCGGCGCCGTCCTATTGCCCAGTGGCGCGTCAAGGACAGGACAGGCCAAGCAGGCTGCAGACGCACCACAGGCACCTCGACGGCTAATGGCAGCAGCCCCGGTACCGTGTCAATGCACCAGTACCCACCCTGCCAATCCCACATCGAAGCTAAAAGTTTTATGCCAGTAGTGTAAAGAACATGCGGTTTTGGCCCACCACGTATCAAGCTACAGTGGCCGTCAGGGCGAACCACCCGGGCGAACCACCCGGGCGAACCGCCTTGTACCATGGTATCTCGTCAGACGCTTCTTGAAGATCATGGTGCCAGTCCTACGTTCCCAGCCTGCACTACTGGGCCACCCGAGATTCGATACATCTTTCTGTCCTAAGCTTTGTGCTTGCAAGAGATGCTTATAAGTCTCAACTTAAATGCAAAACTAGAAATGTATTCTTTTACAACAACAATCGCAGGAAGAGAGGAAAATGTCCGGAGTATATAGAGTCCCACTGCTGGGAGTTTTGGCACAAGCGAGCACGCAATTGCGTCTTTTACTTAACTCAATTCCTTCATGGCGCAATTGGCTAGCGCGTCTGACTGTTAATCAGGAGGTTGGTGGTTCGAGCCCACCTGAAGGAGTTCTTTTTAGCTCCTAAACTAGGTCTTAGTTTTTAATTATATTTCTTATTATTATCCTTTTTTTTTTAAAAAAAAAAAAAAAAAAAAAAAAAGAGAGTAACTTTTAATATAAATAAGTACTTATAGCTATCTTTTTAAGGTTAATAGTAAGAATTTTTATATAGGAAGAGTAAAACAAAAAGAACTCCTTCAGGTGGGCTCGAACCACCAACCTCCTGATTAACAGTCAGACGCGCTAGCCAATTGCGCCATGAAGGAATTGCTGAGAGCACGTGACACTGCGGGCGAAAATTGAGTATTATATAGATATCCAGAACCGTGAAAATTATCTCTGTTTTGTGAGAGTCAGCTGGGTGGGTAGGCCATGCGTGGGAGGCGGCAGTGGTGGCCCGGGGGTTCGGGGTCCGTGCTTGTGATGACGGCCTAGCAGGCCCGAGCAGGCCGAAGGGTAAAGGTTTGCTATAACCTCAATGGGGATAATATGAAGATTTAAGGGATATCCCAATCCAACATGTTATAGTATTTAGTGGTTCTAGTCACATATACTAAGCTCAGCCCCAGTGAGCGCAGCCAGCACTGGCAGGGTGAGAGAGCCTAGGCGTTAGTGCAGGATGCAGTGCAAGGGAAAAGCCACCGCCCGTTGGCACTCGACCCACCCACCCAGGCTGCCAGGATTGCGGCAGCAGTACTGTGTACGGAGCACCACATGCACACCACCACCTTTGCTCCGATCCGTCTCTGCCTTGCCGCGCAAATGCTCTAAGGCAGCCTTCGAGTCACCCAGATTCTTTAATCCACTTCGCACAACCCCCTGTCCCGCATGGTGTCGTCAAATGCTAGTTCGCATTCCTGTGGCACTTGAGCCCCGAGGCAGCAGGCAGTCATGGCAAGGTGGGCAGCCGTGAGGCTCATTGATTGAGTCTTTGACCTGTGCCTCTGCCCTCCCTCCATCATTGGGAATTAAATGCACTTCTCTTCCGTGTCAAGGCATTCTCTCCCCCCCCCCTTTTGCTCTCGGATCTCCTTCCCTCCACGTTCTACTGTTCACTTCCAGGCGTGTTTGGAATTGTCTCGACCACCTTCCGGAATCCATCTCTTTTACAAGGGAGACTCGGTGGTTTCGGGCCTCCTTATTATATACCCATCCATCCACACCACATTCAGCCCCGGTTGGGCTCTGACTACCCCTGGTTTCTAGCCACCTTCCTTGCAGCCTAATGCTCCCACTGAGACGGCGTATTACCCACAGCCTTGTCTGACTTGGGTTCCGGCACTGCCCAATTCGCCCGGGTTAAATACTCTTGTCGCCTCGCACTCTCCTGATTCCTCCTAGATTGGGCACTCGTGCAGTTTTCTCCGGTACCTGGCCAAATCAACGAAGAACACGTGCTGGATTCCTGCTGTGTTCCTGCATCTTCGTCTTGCCCAGGCCGCCAGTCCGGAAACAAGCAGCCGGCCAGCCCATATCCAAACAATCAGGCCTCTCCCGGGCACCATGCCGAGCGACACTTCGCGCAAGACTGTCAGGTTCGGTGATGACACCTCCCGCAGTGGGTCCTCACGTTCCTCGACCTCAAGGAGTGAATCAGGCGCTGGTTCGTCGAGCACGGGTTCAAATTACTCAGGGACAGCATATCCTGATCATTACACAGACCCCCTGTACGAGCAACACGCTCTAAAACAGGCCCTGCAAGACACCGTGAAGCAGGTCGACGAGTGGAAGGCGAAAGCGCTGGAGGCCGAGAGACAACTCCCCAAGGAGCTCAGGCTGGCAGATGCCAACCTGCAGGCCGTGAACAGCCGATGCCACAACTTGGAGGATGAGAAGAAGGAGCTTCAGCGCGACAAGAAGAAGCTGAGAGACGCCAACAAGATCCTGGAGAGCCGCCTCACAGCACTGCAGGATGAGATTGACGTCCTTCGAGGCAACAACGAAAGGCTGCACAAGAAGCTCCGGGACTACGAGGCCCAGCCTGCCACAACACCCTCTCCCAAGAGTGGCAAGCTACCCCGGAGCGAGAGCAAGCGGTCCAAGGAGTCGGTTGCAGACCAGCAGAAAGATCGCCTCAAGGGGCGCTTCGAACGCAGTGACACCTCGAGCGATGCCAGCTCCTCCAAGCGCTCAAGTTCCAAGGCTCCCAGGCCCAGTCGCCGCATGAGCAGTGCCTCCTATGCCGACAGACCATATGTCGAGCCCCTTGGGCCTCGTGCTGCACGGCCCACTGTCTCGATACCGACTTCACAGCCCAGCGTAGTCAGTCCTGGACGCCGTTTCGACGGCCCTGTCGCGGTGTCCAAGACTGGCCAGCCAGCAATTTCTCATTACCAGGACCCGGCCTACTCCTCGACACCTCGCAGTGCCGGCATGGAGCGGCCCACTGTCTTCTACAAGTACGACGGGGTTATGTCCCCAACAGCCGGCTACGAGGATGGGAATTACTACCCTCACCCTCTGTAACAGCGAAACAGCACGGCGGACAACCACAAGGTGAAGTTCCTCTGCTCTGTCCTAAGGGCGAGCCCCGAAGCTCACCGAGCAGCGTGGATCCTTCCTGATCCTTCAGCCGGAGCGCCACCTTGCTCACCCCCCTTCAACCATGAGCTGAAAACTAGCCGGGCGGCCAAGGAGACAAGTGTTCGGTCATGCGGCAATCAACATGTCTTCGCCTGAACTTCACTATCGCACAATGTTGCACGCGGCAACCGGGATTCACTACAAAAACTGTGGAAACTGTCATCACTTTATTTATATTGATTGTCATACTATGGAAGCAGCCTGATATCCATGTTAAATCCGGCACGCTTACTACATATCAAAACCTCTAAAAGACCTGGGGCCCTGATGACCCCCGACATGGCCCGATGCTCTCATCACTGGAGCTCCGATCCAGAAATCTGGAGGCAGCCTAGTGCTCAGGCAGATTTTGATGCCCATTCCTTGGACAACATTCGAACCAGCTCACAGTGGACTACCTACCCTGCCCCCTTTACGAGGCGGGCCCTGTTTTTCCCACACACGGCGGTGTTCTGCTGGAGAATGCCCCTCCTCTCCACACCACACCACGTCACATCCGGAGCACAAACAAACACACACACACACACACACACACACACATGCGCTGCTGACATCCCCACACACGTCACCTTTTGACCCCCTGGTTCTGGGCGGGCTAGCAGTCAGCCATGCAGGTCCTGACGGTCAGGAACACTGGCACACGATTCACGATTCTTTTTTTTTTTTCCTTCTCAGTTTTTTAACACGTCTTACGTCTCACGGTTTGGTCATATTGAAAATATTTCTTATGGCTCCCAACCTCTTACGGAGTTCTGGATGGATCGGAAGGTGGATGAGTGGGTGGGCAAGTGAAATCTCTCTGGGGATATCAGGCTGGTGATCTGGGATACGACAGGCCGGACCGGGGCTCTCTGGGAAATGTGATACCACCTCTTCTTTTCCTCTTTCTTCATTTGATTTCATAGGATAGATACCACATCACGGCCCTTTGTAGATAGACACACATCCCTTTTGGGGGGCCGGATTCAAGAAAAGGACATCATGGCTTCATTGCCCGAATATATACCCCCCGCGTTGGATGAAGCGTAACGGTCATCATGAATGAGGATGATGCAAAGGAGAGACAAAAGTTAGCAAAGAGTGAAGATGGTCAGAGTAGCAGGAGCCAAATTCAGAATGATTCTGGCCAAAGCAAAGGGGCAGACAGACCATTGTACTATTCAGGCAATGACCCGAACTCGTCAACTCGAGTCCTGTGGCGACAGCCCCAACAGACCAACAACACATCTGTCTGCCTATCCCTTGTATCCGGGGCGACTGATAGGTGCCCCTACTTCTCCCGTTGAGGTAGGCGTTCCCAGTTCGGCCCTGCTTCAAGGCAAGGTGACGTCAACCCGCTTGTTACACCAAGTAGGTCGGTGTGTCTGATCATGCCCCCAGGCTCTGACGGGATATTTGTAGGGGTGAGGATGGAACGGTGGGAGGGGACAAGGCAGCCACGAAGGAAGTTGTACTACAGAATGCCACCCTTGCCCGAGTATCAGCTATGCATGTCGTTAGGGAAAGCGGGCACAAAAGCGGGCACAAGAACGGGCACAAGAGATCGGCAGCGTCCAGAGGGGCGGAAGAGCGCGCATGCGCGCATCAATGACTGTCCTCTTTGGTAGCATCAACACGCCAGTCATCTAGCTAAAGGCTGTGGAGAACTAGGCAGTTGGGTATCTTTGAAATGTCGAATACCGTCCTCTCCGCCACTCAGAGGGGATCTCTGGTGGTCGGTGCGCCGAGTGCCGAGTACTTCCCTCCGCCATATCTGCTCAACAAGTGACCGCTTCAACGATCGCAGATTCTGTTCCATGCGGCCGAGAATCATACGGCGATATCGTAGACACCGGCGGCGTACAATAATCCTGCTGCGTACATGAGACATACGCGCTAATTCCCCGACTGGGCCGGGATCGATCGAGCTCACGTGTTCTGGCACCCGTCTGAAAACGCTACCCAGCCCCTGCGAGAACCGGATGGCCAGTCGGGCTGAATGAACACAAACTGAATAGTCAAATCATGGATGTTGCAATCGTTCAACCAGTGCCGGACCCTCCATCGTCCGTAGCTGCCGGTGCAGAAGATCCAGCGCCGGTGTCCGTCTTTCCCTCGCTGTTAGCACCACCACCTCCTCCACCTCCCCCGCCGCCTCCATTTCCTCCTCTCCCGCGGCCACGTCGCCGGCTGCGCTTCGGTTGCTGTTGCTCGCCAGCCATTCCATTGCCGCTCTTATCCGCATTAGATGATGGAGCAGTCGGCGGGTTAGCAGTGCCAGTGGCTGCAGCTGCTGCAGCAGTGTTGTTGCTGCTGCTAGCAGTGCCGGACTGAGCCTGGTTGCTAGGTGTACTGGCAGCCTTCTTAGAGCCCTGGTCCTTACGCTCGAGGACTTGTACGGTTGCCTGAGCAACAGCGACAGGGCTGGCGGCCATCGCCTTGACCA